TATGGATCTTAGAGGAGCATGTATCCATACTCACCATAAAAGATCTGTCAGAGAGATGAAGTGAACCAGTTGTGTACAGCACCAGAGAGGCCCACCATGTGTTTCAGTCTGTTTAAAAGAACAGCGAGGTCTACTGTATCAAAGGCTGCGCTTAGATCCAGTAGCACCAGGACTGAGAGCTTTTGGGCGTCCCAGTTACATCTAAGATCATTTAAAACCTTTAGGAGAGCAGTCTCTGTGCTGTGGTTCACCCTAAATCCAGACTGGAATATCTCCAGGATCTGTCTATCATTCAGAAAATCAGTAATCTGAGTAAAAACAAGTTTTTCTAAGACTTTACTTAAAAATGGTAAGTTGGATACAGGTCTGTAGTTATTAAAATCATTACAATCCAAATTCTCACTGTGGAGAAAACTTTCTGAAGGTTCTCAGCATTAACCAGGACAAAGCTGTCCAGTGTCTCCTCAGGTACAATCGAGCCCTCAGATGTGTTTACAATCATATCGCGATTAGATAAAGTATCAGATCTGATGGCGCTGATCTTTCCCCTGAAGTGGTCTGCAAACTGCTCACAGAGCGAGTCTGTGGGGGTTCTTTTGGAGCTTTTAAAATCAGGGTTAAATAAATGATCTATGGTGGAAAAGAGGACCTTGGGATTATTTTTGTTAATACTGATTATTTTGGCGAAGTATGAATTTCTTGACTTCCTTAATGTGTTATTGTACATTTTAAGTTGCTCGGAAAATATTTGATGGTTGATAGTATTTTTATTTTTCCTCCATCTCCTTTCTGCTGTCCTGCAATTTCTTTTGAGTTTTTTGACTTCTTCGTTTCTCCAGGGTGATGCATGTTTTACGTTAATCTTTTTGGTGGTGAGTGGAGCAACAGAGTCAAGGCTTTTCTTCAGTTTGCTGTTAAAATAACTAAAAATCTAATCGCAGGGTGCAGGTACAATCACAGGGGGGCATTTGACTAAAACCCTGGTAAAATTTGCAGCCACTTCAGAGGTTAGATAGCGCCTCCTCACAGTTCGCACCGAGGTCTCCCGCTGAATAAAACCGGTGATGTTAAAAAACACACAGTAGTGGTCAGAGACAGCCAAGTCAACAACAGAGGACACGCTGGTGGACAGCCCATGGGTAAAAGCGCCACGCAAACGTCTACGTGTCTTATTCGAGTCTTTGAATTCTGCGTCTTTCTGTTGGTAGAGGTTTTTTTTTTTTTAAATACGAAAATATGTGGACATACACATTTCCGAGTCCTGGGTTGGACGCCGTCAAACATTTCACTGCATGTTGACATGATAGCATCACACAGCTGCTGCACATTTGTCAGCTGTGCATCCATGATGCAAATCTTTAGTTCCATCACATCCCAAAGGTGCTCGATTAGACTTTGAGATGATTTGAGCTTTAGCGCGTTACCCTGCAGGAAGCAGCCATCAGAAGACGGGTAGGCTGTGGTCACACAGGGATGGACAGGGTCAGCAAAATACTCAAGAGGACTGTGGTGTTTAAACGATGCTCAGTTGGTACCAAGGGGCCCAAAAGTGTGCCATAAAAATCATCATCACCACCAGTCTGAACCATTGATACGAGGCAGGATGGATCCATGCTTTCAGGTTTGACCCTACCATCAGGATATTGCAGCAGAAATCAGAACTCATTAGACCGGGCACAGTTTTTCTTTAAGTGTCAAATGTTGGTGAGCCCATGTAAATCGTAGCCTTAGTTTCGTGTTTTTGGCTGACAGCAGCGGCGTGCAGTGATGTGGTCTTCTGCAGCTAAATCCCAACTGTTTCAAGGTTTGCAGTGTTTTGCATTCAGAGATGCTTTTCTGCATAAATTTGTTATGAGTGGTGATTTTAATTGCTGTTGTCTTTCTGTCAGCTTGAATCAGTCTGGTCATTCCTCTCTGACCTCTGACATCAACAAACTATATTCTGATGCTCTGTTTGAACCTCAGCAGGTTGTCTACATGCACTTGTTGCCATGTGATTGGCTCATTAGATATTTGTGTTATAAAGCAGTTAAGGAAGTTTATCTAATAAAGAATGATACATTTTGGACAAAAATTACGCATTACACATACAACAACACTTGCCCTGATGCAAGTGTTGTTGTGATTTGGTGCCAAATAAATAAAAGTGAATTGAGTTGAACTGAAAGGGAAACCAAAAAATGTTAGCTGGATGTTAGTTTAACCTTTGGTAATAAGTTCTTCATTGATCAGCCACTCACGTCTACACTGAAAGCTCAGTAATGTTGGGTCCTACGATGAAGGAAACCGATGAGATCAATACATTTTGGGATACTTTTGAGAATGTAATACACTTGTTTGTGTTTTACTTTGAAAACAATCACATTTGAAAGCAGCTCATGGTAAAACTGGGCGTTCTGGTTGTAAGAACTTGTTAATTTGTATTTATGATGTTCCATGAAGGTATAAAGATGCACTTTTCTGCTTCAGTCTATTTTAGGAGCTTAAACGCAGACCCATATTACATTACCTGCGGTTGTTCTTGTTTTGAAGTCTCTTTCACTGTAAAAATCAATCATGCATAAGATGAAAAAAGTTAGATTTCTGAACATAAATAGAAATAAAAACTGTATCTTATCTTCTTCCTGTCGGCTTCCTTCCTGCAGGTGAAGAGGGGGAGTTTGCCTGAGCAACGTACAACACCAGCTTTCAATACGGCTCCACGCCGATCTTCAGACCAGAGTACCAGCTCGATGGTATGAGCTACAGCTTTTCTTCCTCTCAGCTCTGAAGTCTCTGATAGCAAATAATGTGCAAAGGTTTTAGCCACAAAGATAACAATAGGTTCAGAACTTTAAACCAAGTGCAGGAAACAGAAAAGCAAAATCTAATTTGCCTTTAAAGAGTCGAGACCAAGCTATTTTAGGCGGGGGTGGTCGTAAAGTTTCGGCTCATTGTTCTGTGTTGTACAATAAGCAAAAGCAGGAACGTAACGTGTGTGTTGCTCTCTGCTTTAAGGGCAGAAGACCCGAGCTGGAGGCGCGAGCGCATACGATCGGCCACACAGGAAGAAACAGTCCTTCTACTTCGGCTCAGCCTCTGAGACGCACCTCTGAAACCTTGCCTCTGCCTCAGGTCAGCCCCGCCACGCTTTGATGCTTACTGGCTGTGGTAAACACAGGAAACTGTAGACCAGCTAACATCATGTTGATACACTGCGTTCAGCCGGGTGACATCAGCGTTTATTCTAAACTTCAAATAAGATAACATGAAACGAACTAGATCACAGCTTTAAGATTTTAATAAAAATAATGACTGTTAGGAACACATATCTCAGTACTCGGAATAAATGGTGACAAATATAAACAGTTGTGTGAAAAACTGAGCTTGCAGAGCCGTCTTTAGCAGCAACGACTTGAATTGTTGTTTTCTGTATAACTTGATCGGTCTCTCACATCGCTGCGGAGAAAATTAAGCCCACTCGTCTTTACAGAGTTGCTTCAGTTCATTGAGGTTTGCGGGCATTGATTTATGCACAGCTTCTCCTGTAAGGTTGCACCACATTTCAGTCAGGGGGAGTTCTGGACTTTGACTGGGCCGTTGCAGCACCTCGGTTCTTCTCCTTCAGCTATTCACACAGCCGTGTCATTGCGTGACTCAGTTTGAGCCAAGCTTTAGCTATCAGGCAGCATCACATTTGACTTGAGGATACTTTGGTGTTCAGAGGAGATGTTTGTGCCGATAACGTGTTTGGTTTTGTGCATCATGGTCAAACATCTCCACTTTAGCCTTATCTGTACAATGGATGTCTTGTTGTTTGTTCAAATATAACTTTGCAAACTTAAGCCATGGTGCCATGAAAAGTCTTTCTTCTGGCATCCCTTCCAAACAATCCACACTTGTTCAGTCTTTTTCTAATTGTGCTGTTGTGAACTTTGACCTTTAACATGCTAATTGATACATGTAAAGTCTAAGATGTAGCCTCTTGGGCTTTTAGCTGTTTCTCTGAGCACTGCTGACCTCAGGGGGAAGTCCGTGCATGCACCTGCATATTTCAGACCAGCAGCTAAAATCTCTGCTTTCTTTGAAGTGTTGTGCTTCGCCAATGATCAGTAAATCAGGAGCGTTTGATTAGCCGCTCCTGGCAGCCACTTACCCCCTTAAATCCTGTGCAGTCGTTGTGAATGTACTCTGCTTTGTCCTGAGAAAATGTTCTTTTTCAGAACTGCCTTTACACAGAAGTGAAAAACACGTTTAAGCTCTATTAAAAACTGCAGTCAAATCAATTTACACCCACTCAAAGTGTCGCAGTCTGAAGCCACACTTTGCTTATTTTTGAATAACAAACTTTGAGTATCGGTATCAGGATATATCATAGTTTCAATAAACTGCACTGTCTGAGATGTAGAGGAACAGAAACAGAAGTATTTGGCAGTCTGGATGTTTGATCTGTTTTCTGGTAATTCAGTGGAAAACATTTTTAAAAAGTGCATTTTGGGTAAACTTTAAAGGCTCATGTCACTGTATGGGATGTGTGGCTGCTAAAGACAAGTTACAGAATATGACTTTTTAGCTAATGTTAAGATGCAGAAGTCACAAAAAGCAGTCCAGTAAAGGACGTCAGGTATTGATCACTGTTTGGTTTCCACCTGCAGAGACCATCCACGCTGCAGGTCAGGGCACTCTACAAATTCACCGCAGAGGAAGACGACGAGCTCGAATTTTCCGCCGGCGACATCATCGACGTGCTGGATAACTCCGATGCGTCGTGGTGGAAAGGCAGGCTGAGAGGATCGACTGGGCTGTTTCCCGCAAACTACACAGAGCAGCTGTAAGGAAACGCCACAGGCGATGATTTTAAAACGCCTGCGTGCGTTCAGACTCGATCTGCGGCTGCGTCAGCTCTTGATGGGTTTCTGAACGTGAACCAGCAGGCTTCTGTATGTGCTGCGTGTCAGCCTCCTACCAGAGGACTGAGGCAGTGCAGCTTTATTTACAAAGGAGCAGAGACACCTGCAGGAACTTCCTACAGCTCCCACATGTTCACCTGGCACACAGGAAATGCTGCAAATGATGCCTGAGGATGTTGTTTGTATCATGACGTGTCAGTAAGCATGTGTCTGAATGCTTGCTGGCCAGGCTGCTGATGAATGGACTGTCTGCTCACTTTTGACACATTTTTATCAAAAAATGTTATTGACTTTTTAAATAAACTTTTTTTTATCACCACCTTCATGTTTAAATGATGCTCACTCATAACGAGGGCTTTCTGTGGGGTTTTATCTTATCACATTTTACCTGTGATATTCCTGATATTCATTTGGGTATTTCTATCGTTTTAAAGGTGAGTTTTTATTTCTTTTATGTAAAATTTAATGTTTTATTCTTGGAGTTGGTCTCTGTATGATTCACAAATCAAAATAATCTTTTTTTTTTTTTTTATCTCTTACTGGGCTTTGGTGCAGCTACCAGCCCTGAAATGAGCCATTTTAACTCCGCCCCCTTTAAAGATACATTTTTGTATTTTTTGTATTGTATTAAACTCTCACCACTAGTGGGCAGTGTTTTACTAGAAAGTTTTTAATGAATCACATTTAACCAACATTAATAACGTCACATATCGTTTTAGAGTCGTAGTAAAAATTATAAAAATGATTTGCACATCCATTTAAACTAGGCCGTGTAAGACCCAAGTGTAACGTCAATACAAAATAAATAAAATGCCGTTGTTAAGAATAATAAAAAAAAACTAAAAATGTGAAAGTTAACAGAACAAAACTGAGGTTCAGAATATTAAAGATGCAGTAAAACCTATAATTACATTTATTAGGCCCTGCTGTATAACCGAGTCTTTAACGATAAAAAGAAGAAAAGACTTTTAATGATGTGGTTAAAAAGCCATGAAGCACTAATCGAGCGAACAATACTCCTTGTGAATCACATATCTACAAAAAGCTAACATAGCAAACATAAACTGTTGCTGCATTTTTTTTATCGTTAATTTCCCAGACTCTGTGCTGGCGGCGATAAAAGTCGCTTCCCGAGTCCTTCAGCTGTGGTTTAAATAGCTGTTCTACAACGTCTTCCTCTCCGTCAGTATTTCCTCTTCCTCTTATGGCTGACTGGATGCTACAATCACCCACTGTACCTCTTGTGGTTCAAATTTGCAAATGCACTGTTTACAGTTTGAGCACACATTCACACCAGCGCTTTTTTCACACATTTACACAGTTCGACATGCAGACAGCCCTACAATATTTAACTTTAGTCGATTTGTCTTCAGCACAGTACAAACACGATATGGAAATCATGACCGAGGTTGTTTCTTTAAATTTTTTTGGCTGTTTCAATTAATTTCGAAAGCTTTAAATGTGTTTTAAACACAGGAAGTTACATTCAGTTGCTTTTAAGGCTTCGCTTTAAGCTAACTTTCTTCTGATTGGTTGTCTCTCGCAAACAAGTGGGTTTGCAAGCAGGTGGGTGGGGCTTTGGTGCTCACAGCCAGAGATGAAAAAGTTCATATTCACAAGGTTAATGTGAACATGAACCAATGGAAGACAAAACCTGACAGAAAATAATAGAAATCATGGCAGATGTACTTGAATTATTGTCCACCTGCTTAACATTAACCAAAACTCCAGAAGTACACTCATATGCAAAAGATATATATAAATCTTATAAAGTTTTTATCTGTCTTGTATGAAACTTGTATGAAAAGCATACAAGAGTGAAAACACATATAAGATCCCTTGAAAAATTATATAATGAAACTTGAATGTTTTGTATACTTACTAAAAAAAACATGAAAGTAATGAGAAAGTGGCCACTTTCATGAGTAAATCATATGTTTTTACTATTTCTTTTCCATATGGGCAGTTAAGGAGAGTTGCCCTTCAAAATAAAATCCCTATTAAAGACAAAGAAATTGCACTCGTTTTACTTTTTTGATGCAAGGAACAAAGAACTCATTTAAAACTTCCCCACTGACTTTGAGACTTCTGGAATTAAAAAAAAGATACTTATATACTTTTTTTTTTCTTACAAAAATTCATGTGTGTATAACAAGCAGGTAGTTGTGGTGGTTGAAGGCGATCCTGTCAGTAGCTTGTTGTACAGCTATGGCACCTGGAAGTGGAGATGAAAACAGCCCAACTCAATACAAATAAACCCAATATCACATTTCTGACAACATAACTTAATAAAAAAAATGAAAATTTGCTCATAGACTATAACATAGAAAAAAGTAAAATACTCAATAAATCCAAACATCTGTGTCTTTGATGTAAGAGAAAGTTCACTGTCTGATATCATTTGTTATCCAGAGTCACTCAGAGCTTTTTCTCTAAAGAAAGCTCACTGAAGAGTAGCAGGACAGCATCTATTTATAGCTGCAGAAAACAACCCCCATGTCTTGTGGAATGACATCAGTGACAGTTTTATCTGAACCATCAGATGAAGGGAGTTTTGAGCAGGGTACCAACGACACTTTTTAGTTTGCAGAGAGCACCGCTAATGTAACATGCATCCATTTCTGTATCAGAAACTTTCACACAGGCTCTGCGTCTCGTTAAGATCCGGTGCTCTCTTACTTTAGGCCAGGGATGAGAAGTGATGTTTGGTTTCTAGGTGACTAAGATAACATGTGTGGAAACAGGAAGCTTTTGCAGTAATATCTCCAGACAGTTTTTTTTTCTTTAGGTACTTTTGTGTACCAGCATGGTGGCATCGTGGTTAGCACTGTTGCCTTACAACAAGAAGGTCCTGAGTTTGACTCCACCGTCTGTGAAGTTTCCATGTTTGTCGTGTTTGCGTCAGTTCTCGTCGGGTGCTCCTGCTTCCTCCCACAGTCCAAAGACACGCAGTTAGTGAGGTTAGGTTAAGTGGTAACTCTGAATTTCCCATAAGTGTGAATGGTTGTGTGTCTCTTTATGTTAGACTGGTGACCTGTTCAGGATGTACCATGTCTGTCACCCTGTGGCAGCTGTGATAGACTCCAGCTCCTCTGCAAACCTGATAATGATAAGTGGACGTGAATAGATGTTTTTGTTTTTTTCCCCTCATCACTACTAATCAGGGCCTGGTGATGTGTTCTGTTATAGAACATTTAAGATTTAATTCCTTACTTTTTGTGCAAAATCCCAAAACACACCATTTGGGAACCTTTGCTTCGGAGTTATTATAGTTTTGTATTTTCTAATTACTTTTTATTTTTATTCTATTTTGACTTTTTGCTTTCAGTTCAGTTTAGTTTCTGTTGGTTTCCAGATTGGATTTTTTTGTTTACGTTCAGTTTAAATTGTTTGAACATGTTTAGGTTTATTTATTTATTTATTTTAAATTTTCACTCTTAGTTTTAGTCTTTTTGACTGTTATTGAATGAAGGGAATATGTCATTGGCAATATTTAGGAAAACCAGTACAGAAAGTACAATGACAAGACAGTAATAAAATGTTAAATGTAATAGAAATTTTTACCAAACTGAAAAATATGTAAACTTTTTATTCTTGGTTTTGCTGTCCTGTCCGACACTGCCACAATCAGAATTCTTGTCTGAAGGCCACGAAAGGTCGACTTCATAGTCATAGTTTATTAGATTTTTATCAGAACGCACAGGACCGAACAGAATAAGGAAAGAGAAGTTGGGGAGAGAACAGAAGGAGAGGGAGAGAAAAATAGAGAAGAGGGATAAAGAAAGAAAGAAAAGACTGAAAATCTGCTTCAACACCTACTTAAAAAAAACAAAAAACAAAACGAAAACAACACAGCAAGGAAACCATAGCAACAACCACGAGTAACAGTAAATAATAAATATTAAATGTTACTAAGCAACATGATATGTTTCGAGGCAGCAGCTGACCAAGATAGTGAGTGTCTGTGAGTACTTGTTTGCAAACCTGTGTGTGTGAGTGCGCTTGTATTCATAAGGTTTCTCCATGTAAGTGTTTGATAGTGGGTGTGGGGAGCCACAGCCCTGCCCCCCAGGACATGAAGCAGGCATGGAGGAGACCCGGGTCCCTGACATCTACAGGCCCCCTCAGAGCACGAAATCCCAAGGAGGACCACCGCAGGGGCGATCACGCCACCCACCTGGAAAAGGAGGAGAGCTCCGGACAAGGGTCACCCAGAAGCCACGGTGGGCAGCAGTGACGACGAGCCTGCAGGCTCCACAAGCAGCCGGCTAAGCCAGAGCAGACTGAGCCCTGGACCCAGAGACCCGAGAGCCCCCACACCCTGCAAGGGGCCCGATAGAGCCAGGGGGGCCAGGCCCCGCCAAGCAGCAGAGCCAGAGTGAGCCAGTGCACACCCGAGCACACAGCCCTGGACAACGAGAACTTTTTTCAAAAGTCTAGTTTTTATTTTTATTTTAGTTACATAAGATGCTTTTCTGCAATTAGTTTTAATTTGAAGTATTTTTTAGTTGGGATGCAAAACATAAGACTCCAAACCGACCTGCTGGAAACCTTCGTACATAGATTTTGAACTTTTAGCTGCATTGTCATAAATTTTGCAGCTTTTCCTACTGATAAAGACTCCTCCTCCTATTAGTCAAGTAATAGATAAAACAATGAAATGACATAAAAGTTCCTGTTTTCCACTATCAACTAAAATCTCTGTTTTTATTATGCTGTGTCTACAGTTAAAAATATTTCTGTGAATTAAAAAAAACTTGTTTTAATGTTTTATAAATACAGAACCATCTGGGCAATGAGCCACTGTTGAAACTGCATTTCTAGTTCTCATATTAGGTCAAGTAAGGGATTAAATGAGTAGTTAAACTTCTTTACAATAATGCTTAAGAGCAAAGTAGTGTGTATATGGCCCATAACATAAAATAAGTTTGACATCTCTGGTTAACTACAATAACGTTCCTCTACTCTGAAGGATCCACCACTGACAAACTTCCGTTGTTGCCTTTTGAAAGTTGTACTCTGAAAGTTTACAGGCCGGATGTTCTTTAATAACATGCCTGTTGGCTCCGCCCCCTTGCTACCTGTCAGCACAGGTATTGCGGTTCTTGGGAAGCAGCAACAGCAGCATCGGTGGCGCACTGAGGGGGAAGTTATTTTTAAATCTTTGGGCCATGGCGGAGTCTCAGCTGGTGTGCATGGATGATGAGCACGTTAACGAGAAGGTCCTGGAGTCCAAGCCGGAGTTTTACTACAGTGAGGAGCAGCGTGCGGCCCTGGAGCAGCTGCTGAGGAATGGGGACGGAGCCTTCAAGATGCGCCTCCAGGAGGACAACACCAAAGACTTCCTATGCGCCCGGGAGGTCAAAGTTATCCGCAAAACTTTCCACGAGTACGACACGGACAGCGACTCCGAGTCCGGGGAGCACGACAAGTCCAAGGGCTCCTCCAGCGCGGACTCCGGGGTCCACTCCACCTACTGGCCCCAGATGTCCGACACAGAGGTCCCGACTCTGGACATCGGTTGGCCCGGCAGCAGCGGCGTCTACAAGGGGGTGACCCGGGTGTCCGTGTACACCCACCCCCCCAAAGAGCAGGGACCGCACATCAAGGCGGTGGTGAGGAGGCTCATCCAGGAGTCACACAAGGTAACAGAAAAGAAGAGAAACCCTGCATATCCACCCTGTTTACAGCATCTAAACCAAACTCACATTTACGCACAAGTGTTTTAAAGTTTTTCTTTAATTATTCACATTTTTCTATAATAACCCACCAAATTTGGGACACCCTGACTTATAGGAACTTCAGTCCTTTTATTTGTTAACCTGAAGCGATAAAAACAGTCAGGGCTGCAGGTGAGTGTTCGCTTAGTCTGTGATGTAGTGCTTATGAAGCCAGAAAACAGTGAGAAGTATTCAGTTTTGTCCTGATTTAACTTCAAACCCACAGAGATTCAAATTCTACAGGCATGAAATAGTGAAACTTTAAATAAGAAGAAACCTCTGAGCTTTCCTGCCGAGCACTTTGCTTCTTACATGACTTGCCTCTAAAAGTGCTGATACAAAAATGTGACTGCATGCATCAAACAATAAAACAGGTGGAATAAAACACCTGCAGATTCAGATTTAGGAAAGTTTACGAGTCAGCTCCTGCACCTGAACCAAACAAAGGAAACTCCTTTCTTATATGTGGAGCGATTAAAGGAGAAAGTCCCTGACCTACTTCCAACAAAGAAGGAGAATAACACTGTAATACTAACAGCGATTGGCTGCAGAGGCTCACCTGACCACGAAAGTGACAAAGAACCCCCCACCCCCCCAGACTGAGCCGGTTACAGTCAGTCCTCATGTTTCCTGTCTTGCCGAATTCATCATCATAAATGTCAGTTTGAGTTAAAGCTTCAGCTTTTTAGGATTTATTTTGAGTGCAAAGGACAGGTGGAGTGAACTGTGAACAGGGACGGCCTGTTAAAAACAAAATAATATCAATAATATCAAAAGTTTTGATAATCGATCTTTTTAGGGTTAAAAAATACTTTTAAATAATTTAAAATGTCCATATAAAAAAGGGGTTCGCTGCCTGAATTGTTCCAAGAATAATTTTTGGACTGAGTTTGTTTTCACCCCGCTGAGTTGTGTAGCACTTCCTTCCTCCAGATTCATCCTGTCACGCAGTAATTAGATGATTAATTTGATAATGAGAGTAAGTTTTCTCACTTTTAATATATAAGAGTTATGGAAAAACAAAACAAAATAGGAGAATATTCACTATTAACAATAATAATCTTTAGTTTCAGGCCTGCTTGAATAAAGATTATTCAAAGATTTCTTCAATAATTCAGTCTGTACCTTAGTCGTCCATACTGTCATGTATGCATATAACTCACACTGTGGCATATATATGTACACTTTGTACATGTACATACATTTTGCAGGTTTACATCTTGATAACTGCACCGTCTCAACAGTTTAATGAGTCGCCACAGAGCAGAAGCTGCAGGCGGGTTTCAAGTTTTTCACATTTGTCATAACTCAAAGAGCTTTTTGTCATTTTTCAGCTGTAAGTCAAAGTGAAAATAAAAGATACACATCTGACTTTTTACCTGGAATTTCCATCGTCACGGCGCAGCGCTCTGCTCCGGTGCTCCGAGTTTCAGCTTGCAGCGTAAAAGGGAATGATTGATTTATTCAGGGTTTCTTTGGGAACGTCATAGTGGGAAAAGCTGCTGCTGTTTTCTTTTCAAACAGAAACTCAGTTGGGTTTATTTCTTCATATATTCCCTCTGATATTCTCTGATACTTCTCGTGGGATATCTGTACTTTTACATAATGTAGTTGTACTTTTGAGGTGTCTTGTGGCCTTCAAGTATAGGACTTAAATTGGTTTATTTCAAGACAGAGGATGAGCTGAAGGGATGTACTGAGGTCTAGCATAAGATAAAAACGGATCATTTTGACCTGTGCTACTTAATTAGTGACCAGTAATAAAAACATCGAACTGGAAATGTTGTGTAGTATGTCACTTTTAAATACTTTTTAATAAACCGACAGGCTAATAAGAAGAAAAGGTTCTGGAGGCCCGAGTAAGTCCACTGCTGTGTTTGAGGTTATTTTAATGAGTGGTTCTCAGATTTTGGCTAAAAGTTTTTCTGTTGTCAATGTTGCCCTGAAAGAGACGTCGTTGTGTTTCTATCTCGTTGGGTCCCTGCAGACAGGGTGGTTATGACTAAAACATGATCACCTGATCACCCATCGCTGTCTTTATGAAGAGAACTACTCCCGAGGTGCTCCAAGGTTTTTCCTGGCTTTATCTGGTGTTTAGGTTCCTATTCCACATGTCGATGAGATTCTTTTGAGTTTTCTCTCGTGAGTTATCAGAAAACAGATCAAACAATCAGGGTACCAGGGGTTGATTTATTAAGGTTTTCTGTTAAAAATGTAATTCATCCCATGATACTAATGCTAAAAGCTGATTATGGGAAACATAAAAAAGATAAATAAATAATAATTAAAGATAAAATAAATATTTTTGGAACATTGTGATGCAGTAGGTGTTTCTAAAATTGATTTAGTTGGAAGTTTTAACAGAGATTAAATGTTTTTTTCAGCCTTGAAAATCTCATTGATTGAAGTTATGAAGGTTCAAAAATGCTCAAATGGAAAAACTAACGAGAACTGTAAAAGTGGCAAAATTCCACCTACTTCTTTGAGCTGTCAGAGGCTGTAACACTGACAAAGTCCATATTCTGAAGGCCACATTTTTTTTAATGGTTTCATTAAGTTACTGAAGTTAAGGAATCGGACGGAAACTTTTCTCAGATCTGTTTGATTTTAACCAGCACACTCACTGCGCCAGTGTATCCTCACGTCCTCTTTCTCAAAACGTAATGACCAGCAAACTGCACACGGCGTGTTTGAGGGGCATCTGCAAGCTGTAGCGCTGCAGTAGCGTTGTTGTAACGCTTGTTCAGAGAATTTTCTAGTAAGGTAGAAGGAGGTGAGGGTTAACGAAGCCAGCGTGGGTAAATAAAATGATAAAAGCTAAATGAATGGGAGAGTCCTGTGCAAGTTTTAACAAGCTGAGTCATTAAAACGCAGAAGGGAAAAGCTGAGTGGCTGAGTGGCAGCCTCCCCCAAGATCCTGCAGACCAGGTTAAGGTTGGCATTTAACAAGCTGCTCTTTTTAAAAAAAAAAAAAAAAAAAAAATTTTCTCCTCGCCCACTTGGAGTTTTGCACGACTCCGTCTGATTGGCTCAAATCCCAGGTGCGAAAATCATAGCTAATGAGGAGAATCGCTCACTTGCGATTGGTTTTGACAGGCAGCACCAGAGGCTGTATTTGCTGGGTGGAAAGACGAATAAAGATGTGCAGAACTCATCATACTTGAATAGTTAATAATCCACTTTATTATCCATCTACAGCAGTCTGCTCAGCGCCGTGTCAGCTTAATGAATCAGGCACAGATTGCTCCCCTTCAGGTAAAATAACTCATCCCCTCCTAAAAGCCTGACAGATACTTGAAAGAGTCCTTGTGCAGTTTAAGTGGTGCACGCACACACACGTGGATGCATAACATTACTCTACAGGAGATCATTATCACAATCCAAGAGAAGACCTGAGATGTACATATGAAAGAGCCGAGGTGACGGTTACCGGTCGAACTGCATTCAAGAGAAAAAGCAGAAAATGTCGCCTGAAAGGGAAAGAAAACAACGAGTTCTTCGATTCAGGTGATGTCATGCGTATTTTCATGTACAAGAAGAAGGTGCACTTCACCAGAATCCCATCAGGAGAAGTCATTTACACAAGGTGTTGTCCATTCACGTCACAGGGCTCAAGTGTTTGATCCAATTTGCCACAGTGGAAGGTTTTCCATTATATCACACGTGATGATAGATACCAGAGAAAACAAGCTGAAGCCCAGCCATGAACAAAGACTGGCAGCAGCACTCGCCAACAAACACCCAGAGCTCTCCAGGTGTTTCCAGGTCGTTAAAAGTAACAATAAAAATATTACATTGATCTTTGCTCATGTCTAAAGTGTCACTTCAGCTACTAAATAAACTGTGTGTAAATTCTTTTTTTTAGATGTCTGTACGTGATAAAACATGAACATGGCTTTCGGGGCTGAAAAACTGATGCTAAATCGGATCAGAGTGACTGTGAGGTGTGTTTTTTAACTGTGGGCATTTGAAAAGATCTCGCTTAAATATAAATATGTCAGCTGTGGACATCACTTTATCCCAGTTCTCAATTCAATTCAATTCAATTTCTTTATTGTCCCACAAGTGGAAATTAGTTTAGCAGCAGGATAAAAATAAACAGAACAATAATATAAAATAATAATGACAATAATAGTAATAGAAAGTCCAAGGACGTTTATTTGCCGGGACGCCTACTAGGAGTAACTGTTGGAGCTATGAACTGTTTCTGTTGTATTCCAGGCTTCTTACAGAACAAAATAACTGTTTGCATCAGAAGTTAGTGAGGCTGGTCTCTGCTTATGCAGCTACACCTGAAAAAAAAACAAACCCTGGAAACTGTTCTAATGGTTGTTAAACCACTTCTCTATGGGGGGAACTGTTGTGTTTTTCCTTATTTCCTGTAATATACACAGGTACTATGCTCCAGGTGGACCCTGAGTGCCAAGGCCTCTAAACACTGTTTCAGTTGTTCTTACTGATGATGGTTGTGTGTTACAGAGAAGTCCCACCCACCTGCTGTTCAAACCTTATGTTTATGAGCACCAGCCAATCAAGACAAAGTTTGCTTAATGGAGGAGGGGCTAAACCGGAAACAGTTTATGTCAGGCAGAGGGGCAACTCGGGGTCTGCACCAAAGGCTGGTATAAGACAAATAAGAGTTATTTTGAACTGTGAGTCATGTAAATACTTCTCTGCTGCTGACAGGTGCCTTTAATTAATTTTTAAAGCCCTCATTGAAAGCACAATGCTATTGGCAAATCTCTGTACCCACCTAAAAAGGAGTGGTTGATTTAAAAACTCAAATTTCACAACAGCGCCATCGTAAACCTGCTGTTTGTGGACAAACAGCCCAAACCTCTTTTAGGTGAACTTGTAAACCACTACAACTGAAGTGGATCTAATCTGCTCACTTCCAGCTCCATATCTTTACTCTTGGAGTCTAAAAGAGTAGCTTTACATAAGTCACATTTCAAAATAATCCTTCTTTCTCTTGTGCTTGGCCTCGTTTCACCCTCGGTTGAAAATGAACTTCTACATACACTTATTTTATTACTTTAAAATAAGTGTATGTTAATAAATACACTTATTTTATTACTTTAAAATAAGTGTATGTTATCAGGTTTATCAGCCAGAGCTCGTGGAAGGTCAATGTAATAAAACAGTCTTGGCAGGTGGAATAACCGTTAGCCATACCAAGTGGGCGTGTATGAAAATAACGCTTCAATTTCCAGAAAACCTTGAAATAGTTCAGATTAAGCATTTTCTGGATAGATGTTTTTTCCAACATAAAATGCATCGTAAGCAGTTTGGATGAGAATTTGATGACGGGAGCTTCACTGAGTCATGCCTGGTTTACTGTGTTATTCAAACTCGTGTCTTCCTGGAGAACTAGTTTCAGTTTGCTGGATGAGTCCCAAACAAACTGTAATAAGGAAATGGGGAAAAAAAGAGTCACATGATCTTTTCAAACTGCTCTTAAGGGTACAAAAACCAGGAGAGGCTATAAAACATCTCAGTACAAACAGCAGTCTTATTGGTCTAATAAATCCAGTACATAATTAAACTGTATGCTGTAAAGTGTTATAAATGCATCTGTTAGAGATGTAGCTGCTGATTTCTTGCTCAGATTAGCGGTGCTGTGAGTCGTAGCCGTTGCTGGCATTTGTCCAAACTGCCTTTGCTAAAACTTTTAATCGCCTAGAAAAACAAGTTATGCAGAAGTGTGAACTGCTGCCGTGGTGGAAGGTTGCGTGTTTAAACTTCATATCACAAGACTAATGACAGGTTAGCGCCCTGGTGCCTTTGTTCGGACTGGCAGTGGGAGTGGTGGAAACATTCAGATGTTGTTTTAATGTTTAAATGGTGCATCCCGCAGCCGGATTTAAAAGTAAATACACAGGAATCGTGACTTTTCCCCATCAGGCTGGTCTGAGGTGTTTTACAGGAAAAAAACAGAAGTGGTTTCAGCTTTTATTTCCTTACTGAATTACCTGTGCACTTGCCATTCACTTTATTAGATTCAAGAAGGTGCTGGAAACACCTGAGGTTTTGGTCCATGGTGAGAGCACGAGAAGCATCATAGAGTTAGTGCAGATTTGTCTGCTGCACGCCCATGATATGTGTCATATGAAGATGGGTACACTGTGGTCATAAAGGGATGGACACGGTCCGCAATAATACTGAGTGCTGAACGGTTACTAAGACAGTCAATGACATCACCGTCAGCAGCCTAAATGCTGGTACAAGGCAGGATAGATAAGTGCTTTCATGTCATTAAAGCCAAAGTGTAACCCTACCCTCTGAATGCCACAGCATAAATGTAGTTTGTTGCCCAAGACACTTTAAATTTGTGTGATGAAGTGATCAATGAGGACATAAAGTTTGGACTTGGTGTATCCATGGATGCTTCCTCTGTAACTTCAGGGTTCAGAACTCAGACTTATATCTAAATCATAGGTATGCTGCAACCACACACTTGTGCTGTAACCTAACGTGCATCTTTCTAGAGAGGAAAATACTCGTTGCATTATTGCAGTGAGTGCAGTCATTTCCTTCAACTCATTTCTGGTTACTCCTTCTTGTGCTGCTATTTTTCAAACTGACTGGAAGGGAACTGAGCAGCTCGGATAGAGAAACTCAACCACCAACGGGTATTTTAGCATCGCAAGCATAATGTGCACAAGTATAAATGCTGGCAATGGTTTCGGTCTGTTGCACAGCCTACAGCCTAGATTCTAAGTAGATTTAAAGCCAAATATAAATTAGCTCGGTCATGCTGTGACCGCAATGATACTATTAAATCCAGAGGCTTAGCTGAGCTTATCTTTAGTCATAGTGAAGAATAAATGTGTCATATCACACATTCTAATATATCTGCTGATTGACTGATACATAAATGAAGAAACAATGAAAATGACTGATTTGTTTTGTCTGTTAAAGTTGGTAACAAGGTGTCTTCTGTAAGGATCTCTCTAATTTATCTTTCTAATCATTCATTATTGCTGACTTCGCCTTTATGTGTGTGTCTGGTATGAAATTCTTTTGTCTGTTTGTCTGTTTAACAAACAAAAATGATGATGATTCACAACAAAGGATGCCTTTGATGATTCTCTAAAAACTTACATTTCTGTTCCCATGACTAAAGGCACAAAAAGATGGGTTTTGGTTTTTTTACTTAGTCCCAACGTCTTTCGGGTTTTATTTCATATATTTTCTGTTATTATGTACACGACTGCGGTGACATAACCGTGACGTCTGCTCTTTATTGATCTGTCAGTTAGAGTGGGTGTAAGTGTGTATAGATAGACTGCATTTTTACATGACTCATTTCATGAGTTTACATTTTTTAAATATCTTTAAAGTTCACACCAAGGCTACCAAATTAATTTCAGATGTGTGGGATGAAAAAGCAAAAGTAAAAGAGAAATAGTTTTGCTGATGGGGCTGGACCTGGAGTTGAACTGCCAACCTGACTGCTCACAACCATCCTCATAGCCTCTGTAGCTCCATGCAAAATGTACTTAAGTTTAACAGTAAGTAAATGAACTGGTATAAATGGAAGTCAGGACCACCTTATGAACTGTTAAACAACTTTAAACTAGCTTTGAAATAAAAATTTCAACCAGCTTGCGGTGAGCACACATGGTGCGAACATTAGGGGATGCCCTCAGTCACATGCTATCTGCTTTAAATGGCACTAAAACTTTGAGAGCCTCAATCCAATGAGTCTCAATATTTTGTGAATTATTTATTATATTTGAATAATATTCACATACTTGTGTATTGTGTATGCTTGCTGTTAAAGTCTTCTTCTTTTGTTCAGCAATTGTTATTTCCAAATTAAAAAAAAAATATGACTGCTCAAATAACTGAAAAAGAGCACAAGTGTTAATGGATATGCACGAGTAACGTGAGATGGCTCCTCTCTCGTCTGTTTCTCGCAGGTAGTGGCCATCGTCATGGACCTCCTCACGGACCTGCAGATTCTCCAGGACCTGCTGGATGCTTCGTCACGGCGTGGCGTGGCAGTTTACGTTGTGCTGGAGGCCAGGGGAGTGCCCCACTTTCTGGATATGTGCTCTCGGCTGCAGATTAACGCGATGCATCTGCGGGTGAGCAAACAGAGCGCTGCAGAGAGAGGAGCTTCTCTAACACAGTAAACAAAGAGGAAATGAACATGGGAAAACAGCTCAGTAGGTCACTGCTGAGTCCTGGAACAATGCCGATGACGGCTGGAATTATCCCAGATTAAAACTTATTCTGAATCATAGGCCAGGCTTTCTGGGAAATCGCTGACAAGTTAATTACCTCAAAGGTTTGATCTAGTTAGAACATGAACCAGGAAAACTTGGCAATACACTTACCGAACCAACTACAAAAACCTTACATTTTCCCACTTAACCCTAAGGGTAGTTTTATGTTTGATTTCTCATAACTGCCTTTGCAGCAGTGCATTGGAAGTTACAGGAATTTCGTTTGTGAAACCTGCCAATTTACTGCTCAGAAAAGTATCCAGCATTGAATGGATGGAGTAGTTTTTAATGGGACTTTTAAAGAATTGATACAGCTTAACATAAAACATAAACAGTAGACGGTTAGCTAAAATTTTGAGTAAATGGTTGAAATAGTTTTTAAAAAGGGATAAAATTAACAAATTAAATAGTTAAGTCAGCAAAATAGTCAATGATTAAGGATGAAAAAACGCATTTTATATAAGTAACTGAAATAGATTGCAAAGATTTGCACGAACTGTTACACTAGTTAGCTAAAAGTAGCGGATGTAGCGGTTAGCTAAAATTTTAAGTAAATGATTGAAATAGGTTAAAAATAGGATTAAAGTAACTGATTAAATTGTTCAGTCATAAAAAACAGTCAAAGATTGAGGCTGAAAAAGTATTATCTAAGTAACTAAAACAGATCATTAAAGGTTTCGCAAGAACAGTTTAACTAGTTAGCTAAAAGTAGCAGACGTAGTGGTTAGGTAACTGATAAACAGCAGGAAATCAATAAAATGTGAGGAAATGGACTTGTTGGAGCACTTGTGTGAAAATATGTGTGAAAATAAAAAGAAGTATTTTCCTTCCAGTGTAAAACAGGGAGGGTCAAATTAATAATTTTTGAAGAATTACTGGAAAATCGACTGCTGAGCAGACGCTAGCACGAGCTGACATGTAATTGCTGCTTCTTGTGGTGCAGAACCTGAGAAGTGACATTAGGTGCTGATTTAGATTAAGCGCAAATAGTGAGTCATCTGTCATCCTATCTTCACCGTGTCATAATACCCAGTCTTATCTGTTGTATGCAGAGTTTTTCAGCTCCACTCTGGTTTAACCGGAGTAGTGGAATGGCTGGCCATTGTGGTATCAGTTTATAAGGCTGTGAAAGACCCTTTCAGAGTGCCGGGCTCTGTTACTGTTACTAGTGACAAGGGAACATTCATAGATCTTGAGAACAGATCCAAGGACAGTAACTTGACGCTCTCACCCCACGCCAGGGTTGACACCACAGGAGAGCCTCCTCCCAGTTTGTCTACCCAGCATTTACGTCCTTTTCTTTTTCCTGCTTCCCTCTAAGTAAACAGAGGTGGCTGAAGTGTTTGGGTTTTAGCCTTTACTTATTATGAAAGCTGACTTTATGTTTCTGGGTGTGCCTGCAGAAATTTGACTTGGCATCTCTGTAAATCAGCCAGCCATCCTTGAAAAAGCCACGGATGCCCGATAGCTGGGGTCCGTTTACTCAGGCTTACCTGTGTGACATTTTTGACACAGGTAAGCCAGTGTGTAATCCAACAGGTGTTTCTTTTACAGAATCTACGTGTGCGGATGCTAAAAGGTGCAGGGCTGGCCCTGTCCTTTGGAAAACTGCCAGGCTCCCTGTGCTCCAAATACATGCTGGTGGATGGAGAGAAGGTCATGTTCGGGTCTTACAGGTAAATATCAAACCAGTGTTTCTTTTTGTGGTCAGGTGCATTCAAAGGAAGCAGAAAAGGTTGATAAAGCAACCTGTTTCAATTTATTATTTTATGTAAGATTTTATAGCACCCAGAAGAAGAAAAATGTAAATAAAAACAGAATACAATAAGTTGCAAGTCCCATAAACACATTTTATTCATAACACAACACAGAAAACTGAGAAATTTCATGAAAAATATGCGCTTATTTTGAATTCAGTGGCAGCAAAATGTCTCAAAAAGTCATGGAGCAACAAAAGGCTGGACAAGTGGTACTTAGAAAATAGCTGGAGGAATGTTTTGCAAGTATTTGTGTTAATTGGGAGCAGGTCAATAACATGATTGGGTCTAAAAACATCTTAGAGAAGATGTTTGAGGTAAAAATGGGCAGAGGTTCACTAATTTTCATTAAACTGCATCTGCAAATTGTGTAAAATTGAGAAAACCTCTGTCTCGTCATCTAGAGTACACAATCTTCCAAAGATTCAGAGAATATGGAGAAATCTCTGTGTGCAAGTGATAACGCTGAAAATCAGCACTGCATTAAAAGCAGGAGCACTTTCAGAAATCACTGTCTGTGAACACAATTAACTGTGCCATCCACAAATGGAGGTTAAAGCTCCATCATACAAAGACGTCTTCTCTGTCTTTATCTTCGTATCTCATGCCTTTGTGCCTATTGAACTGGCAGCTTGCACTTCTGGAAAATCTACTGGCACACCTACATTTGCTACTGAAAGGTGCAGATCAACATATGCTCCGATCCAGACAATGCTTTTTCAGCTAAACTGCAGAGTTTCTATTAGAATAGCACAGAATAGATGCAGTATGTGAACTGACCAGCCAGCAGTCCGGGAGCACCATGAAACTAAAAATACGACAAAGAAGACAGAGGACTGTTGAACAGCTCGAGTCCTATATCAGACCAGAATGGGAGAACATTTCTCTTCTACAAGTCCAGCAGCTGCTCTCCTCAGTTGTTTACAGTGTTGTTAAAAGCAGAGCGGACGCTACACAGTGGGAAACACGGCCCTGTCCCAACTTTTTTGAGACACGTTGCTGCCATCAAATTCAATATGAGCCAAGATTTTTCTTTAAATGGTTTAAATATTTGATACTTTCTGTGTTTTATTTTGAATAAAATATAGGATTATGAGATTGCATTCTGTTGTTATTTACAATTTACACAGCGTCCCAACTTTTTAGGAACTGTGGTTGTACAAAAATTAAATTATACTATATACAGCAAGGTGTTTGTTTTCTGATGTCTCTATATGCTGTAAGGAATGGGATGAATTTAAATATTCACACTAACAGATAAATCATGTAATTAAGGTATGCTCTCGTTGGGAAATAGAAAATCCTTCAAAATAAAAGTCCAGCTTAGCGTGCCGAGTCCAGTTGTATCTTGTTTTTAGTCAAGACTTTGAACCACTTGACCTCCTATATTCTACTCCGTGTTACGGTGACATGTTCAGAGTCACATTTGAGACTCATTTGGACAGTTTCACTTTTACACATAATACAATGTCCCTCTGACACAGTTTCACTCCAAAGCAGATTAACTGATCCTGACATGGTTATTAAATAACCATTATTTGTGCTTTATTTGATTGACTTTTTGTATCTTTTGTATAAACCCAACATAACGAGAGCAGCTTGTTTGTGACTGTTAGGTGTGAGACATTTTCTCTAAAAGCAGCCGGCACAAAAGGAACTCCATTAAACCTCCAAATAACTCCTTACACACTCTGAAGCTTATTAATCTTGTAAAATGACTAAAGTGCTTTTTAAACACACTCTCTTCTTATCTGCTGTTGGTTCAGTGTGGGAAAAGATAAATGCATTGCTGTAGATCCGCTTTTTGGTAAATGTCGTTGGTGACCGAGCCGGACGTTTATGACCTGGGAGATTATTATAAGGGAATCGTACCGCTTTCTCCTGAGTGCTTTAAAATGATTAAGTAGTTTCAGAAAAACCATTAAAACGATAAAAAAAACTTACACTAGGTGAAAGTATGACATTTAAATGAAATCCTACACCAGGCAGTGATGCGGGTGAATTAATTATCCAGCTTTTAAAGATTTCTACAGTTGATTAAGTCACTTTTGTTTTATTTTTTGGTTGCAAAATCCACAAATTAAAGGCATTTAGCCTCTGTCTGTACTCAATGTACCTCTCTTATCTTCCTCACTCATTTTTAATTGTAGTAATACATTGCTTTGTTTTATTCTGTTCCTTTCTATTCCAGTATTGCAAATGGTACCGCTGCCAGATCCACACAAAAAAGGGCTTTCTCTCCTTATCCTTCACATTAAAAGCCCTTGGCATATACAGTGCATGACTGCTGTAGTAAGCTGAAGCATTTTACAGCACATTCTGGGATCAAAATAAAACCTTATTTATTAGTTTAATAGTTCAATTAAGTTTTTTTCATACAGTATCAAATCACAACAACATTAAACCAAGTAAATGAACGATTAAAGATTTGAAACAAACAAACAAATAGATAAATTTTATCGCTGCTGAGGATAAAAAGAATTCTGCAGAGGTGAACATATGTAACCCAGAAGGGGGGAGATCATATAACAACCAGTGCACGCCTAAATACAGTTAACGGCATAAAAAACATCGAGCCTACGTTTCCGTATAGCAGTCATATCAGTATGAACAGTGAATATAAATGTCAGGTATCAATATAAACAGTAATTTTAATGCAAATCTACAAAGAAAAAGATTCCTTTTAACCTGCAGCAATGACAGGAAGTACACGCATTTTTGCACGTGTTGAATAAATCAGGTTTCTGGTGCAGATTGGGCTATGACAAAAGCTAACATTTATCTTTTTAAAAATCTAAATCCAGGACATTAAATCGAATGTTAGTGATGGCCGCACTGGGAAATGGAGATCACATTAAGAGCCAGACACATGCAGTGCACTGATATGCTTTAAATGAACTGAAACATAAAAATCTATTGTTGTTGCACATCCCAGAAAGACTTCTTAGATACAGTTTAGTCTACATAAAGGCAAAATAATGTCATTTGTTCAGTTTTAGATGTTGTGTTGCCACAACTACATACATGCTGATAAAACAGCTGCAACCATTAGTGCAAAGTTCAGAATTGCAAAAGAGCTCGATTTCACCTCTGAGCTCCGAGTTTGACAGGATCCACACAGCTGTATTCTCGTTGTTAAATCGCTGTTCTGAAAGCTGCAAACACACAAAATGAGTCTGAATGCACGTCATCTGACCACATCTGTGAGGCGATGAGGCGAATCTTCCTTCACTGACTAAAGACAAAACTGGAGGGACCGATTTGTGGCAGGCGAAATGAGCACAGTCATGTCCTGACTCATGCGTGATGCCTCGTTACGAATGCAAGTTTAAATAGAAAAGTTACAGGCTGCAGCTATGTGGTCAACACCGAGGGCTCAAAAGTGATTCTACAGAGGCAGCCGTATTGAGTCGGCATTTTTATACATCTTTAATTTTCACCAAATTTAATGCATGCATCTCAAACAATGTAGCGCCACCAAAGGGTCAAAGTTGGCGCTGTGTTCATGGAGGAACCATGTGCAAGGTTTGCCTCAACAAGTTCCCATCGATCGTCTTATAACCTGACTTTATGCTGCCACTATCCACCAATTTTGCAGTCTCACAAAATATGGCACCAACGGTAAGATCTAAAGTGTATCTAGTGTTTGTTGGATAACTGCATCCATAGCTTGAGGCATCAGTTTACAGCTCCATGAGATGCCTTGTTGTGGAGATGTGGCCCTGTTGCTATAAAAAAAAAGTAACTTAATTTGCATGAAATTTGTTCTGTGGTCTCATTTGGTGATGCTGATGTTAGGCTTAAAAAACTAATCAGTGAAAAGAAGCGTGAAAACTTACGGACGACACATGGAAACACCCCTGACATAACCGCCATATTGGATTTCATCAAATGGTCACAAATTTCTTCCAGTCTTAACCAAAATTTACACAGTTTACATTTTTACGTCTGAAAGACCCGAAAATGGTGATGTAGCTGTTACAAAGGAAGCAAGGACATGGGATAGGTCATACTGAAGCACTGTGAGGCAACTGTTGTTGTGATTTGGAGCTATTTAAATAAAATTGAATTGAAGTGAATCTCAGCAGCTTGTGATGAATGGTTACTGAACCTGCTGACTAGACTTGGAAACACTTCTTGTTGCCCTAAAAAGCCCAGTTTGACCTCTGAGTTTGTTGGATTTAGCCAAAACCTGCTAAATAGGAGAGTGTGTGTATATGTATATATTCTTTAAATGGCCTTAAATAATAAAATTCAAGCAGTTGTGTCTCCCGGTGTTTTATCTCATATTTTTTGTCCACTTTAAATCACCGCTTTGGTTTACGCTCCTGTTTTTTTTCTGCAGCTTCACTTGGAGTTCGTCCCGGCTGGACAGGAACATAATCACGGTGATGTCGGGACACACTGTGGACTTCTTTGACAACGACTTCCGAGAGCTGTACGCAGTGTCTGAGCAGGTGGACCTGTACAGAGAATTCAACATCACTAAGCCGCCTCTTCCTACACCAGTCATGAAGCCAAAGATGCAGCACATCCGGCCTCTGCCCATCACTACATCTCGCTTTCAGGTATCGGTTGGGGACTCCAGGCAGATTGACCTGAAAGTTCCTGCGCATAAGTACCACAATCCCAAGTACTCGCTGGTTTTCGGGAACAGTTTGGGTCTGACGGGTTCGCTACAGGACTTGTCGACTCAGAGGGACTCGCTAGTAGGTGGGTTGAACCAGAGGAACGGTCTGCAGAACGGCTTTCTCAATGCAAACAAGGAAAAGTTGGACCGAGCCTCCCCACAGAGTCCGGGTTCACCTACAGAGGAGGATGGAAAAGGAGGTCAGAAGAACCAGGCAGACGGACCCAAAAAGCGCAGCTCCTTCAGGCATTTCTTGAAAGGCAGAGGAGCCAATCACAGTACAGACACTATCGAGGAAGGTGTGGTCACTCCTCAGAGCCCCTCTCCCACTATCACAGCAGACTGTAAAGTCTCAGTGGCCAACAGGGTTGCAGGAAATGAATCCGACGACTCGTTTCAGTTCATTGAGAAACCAGGACCACTGAAAACCAAAATCAAGAAGCCGTCGAAGTTCATTCAGAGGAGCGTGTCTATGCAGACCATCAGCACGGCAGACGAAGACGGTGCGTCATCACAGATCTTTTATTTTATAATTCAGTGGTCCGAGTGAGCAACAAGGCAAATATTTCCTGAGTGCTTTGTCTATAAAATGTTTAAAAAGTAGAGTTACAAACTAACATGTAAACTTTTTGAAAGTCCAGGATTTTCTGTCTGATACACTCACATTAAAAGCCTCTATCATCAAATCAACTCATTTCTGATCCACGTTAAATGGCAAGTAGCTGAAACGATGCTCTTTAGTTTCAAATTAAATTTCCGGTGGTGTTAAATATTTAGATTTTGAATCTAGATCTAGATGTGCATGACACTAGAACATCGTAAAAGTTTTTACCCTTTTAATTTCAAACCTGACTTTTTTTTGTTTGTTTGAAACATTTTGGAAAATATCTTTTGCCGAGTGTTTGCAAAGCACTTTATCTTACGAGGAGATTCAAAATTGCAGTGTCAGAAGAAGAGAACATTTGAACCTTTCTGAATCCTTAGCATTTTTAAGCTTTTCAAAGACATTTCAGGGACCTGCAGGAGCCCTGTGATGTCTGTCGATAATATTTGTGTTTTTTGTTTCGTCATGGTCAAGAATCAGTTATTGTGTGATTAAATTGAAGGATATTTTTTCCCTTTTATTTACCAACAGGGTTCAAAAGTCGCCGCCGGCATCAGAAGAGGAACTGCATCCAATCATGAGAAAAAACACGAGGATATTCGGACACTTTAGGGTCTGGTTGTTAAACCTGCTGCAGCGGGTGAGTCTCTGTATCGCCTCACTGCAACCAGCTGACGTTTCTTCACGAAAAATGAGTGCAGTTTGTCCCTCTGGACACGTATGCTGCTTCAGGCTGAGCTGAAGGTCAACACTAGAGACACGCTGCAGCTGAACTCCCTCGAGACATTTTCGGCCAAAGTGCTCGTGGGAGATTTTATTGCCACTATTAAATGTATTTTCTACACTTTTTTGGTATTAAGTTATTTTACAACTAAAGTGTTTTCATGTTTTACACTCGTGAACCTAAAGACTGAGAGAGCAGCCGATGACTGATCCAGGTGACATGGATGGATTACATAACACCTCTTAGGTATTCTGGTCTCCATGGGGACAGGAAAAGTGATCAGACGTGGTGTTGTACCCGAGTGTAACCTTACTGAGGACCCTTGGCAACAGTGTTTATGGGAGTGTGTTGTACAGACTGTGAATAATGTATGAGGAACTGTGCGTCTGCACTTTGGGATTTTGTTTTGATACGCAGGTGAAACAGGTCGGAGAATAAAATGTGAATCCTTGAGAACCACTTGAGACACAAATGATCTGAACTGTTGCAGAAATGGAATAAAAACAAAAGGGAAAAAAGTGTTTGTGTGACTTGGTGTCAGTTAAAGAGCAGCATGCAGACAGATAGCCTGTTATTTTCAGAAATGTAAACCAGGGGAGATCGCTTTTTGAGCCCTGAAATTTGATGAAGATCAACAGCGAATATTCAAAGCTTTGCCTGACTGCACAGCAGGAGGTGGGGGTCAGGTCTTATGCTGCTTACAAAGTTAGAAGGAACACGATGTCTCCTGGTGAACTATAGCTGAGTGCTGCTTCGTGGTGAGGGGTACAGATGGGGAGGGGTGCCTCTTTCTGACCTTAAGCAAGTTCCTATAGATTTTCAGTTTGGTGCTTATTTAAAAAAAAAAAAAAAAAAGTCAATAACTCTCAGCCAATAACTGAGGCTTAGACTATGAAGCAGGTTCAACATAAAAAGTCAGGCCTTCTTTGCATTTAATTGCCCAACTTAACATAAAACTCAAGTCAGATTTAAGAGAAATTACACTGGTTAGCAGCTTGAACTCTCTGTATCAGGCTCTGACAGTAAAGGAGCATTTAAAATGCATCATTTGACTCTTCCTCCATACAATCTGGGTTGATTGCGCACCGCCTACTTCGGTCAGAGATATTATCAGATAGAGTAAGCTAGAAAAGAAATCCACTCTGATGTTAAAAACAAGTCAAGAGTTGGTGATGCTGCAGAAAATTGTAACTTTTTGTCTCCATGAGTGGACGTACATATTTGCTTCACCACTTAATGCTGCAGGTGATTTAAACTGTCTAGAAAACTGGATACATTTAAGTATCAGTCCATTCATGTCTGACAGTCGTAGAGGCCAATGACAGAGACCTGCAGTTTGTGGTCAGATCACAGAGAAATTAATCAGATTTTATCTACTCTGCATACAGACTGATTAATTTTCTAATGTCTGATCTATTAGCCATAATTCCAGCAGTGGAAAATGGAATTTGGGTACACTAGGACCAACTGAATGAATGTCTATTCTTCTAAATATGTGGTGCTTTTTGCACTGGTGTAACTTTGCTGCACACTGCTTTGTTTCTCTCCGGTAGTAAATTACTCCAGTTAGAGATTGTAGTGGAGAAAATCAGTGAAAATGTTGAGCTACAGAAGAGTTTAAACCAAAGCCCTGAACATAATTTGCTCAGGACCAGGTTCTGAGTTTAGCATTAGTTACCATGATGATGTAAGGGTAAGACGGCAGTCGCCTTCATCACAGTGAAAACCCGTTGTATCTCGCTAACCCCCAAAAGTTGATTCTGTTCATCTGGACGCTACGTTTTCAGTGGGAGAAACGTTTCGTCACTCATGCAAGTGCCTTCTTCAGTCTCAGCTGACTGCAGGTTTCCCCAACCTTAGACACTGTACATTTACATAATGACTGAAACCAGCCCACTGAAGGAACAAAGGGCTGTGAGGTCAGTTTCTTCATCATAATTATGCAAAGTCTCATGACCATTGATCAACAATATATCTCACTAACCTATTTGGGGAGGGTTAGGTACTTATTATAAATTTCTGTGTTTAAATAAAGCGATTAACTAGCTCTAACAAAATCAAAAATCAAACGTGTCTGTATTGTATATAAGAGATATCAACTGAAGCCAAATTAGGGCCGGGTTGTACTTTTCTGTAATACCTTTCTGTACCACAGGATGGTGCTGCGAGTCATGTGACCTGTTTTAGCTAGACACATTCTTATTTATGGCTTTTTGAGGACTGCTTGCTGCTTGCCCCCCAGTACTGCAAGGGGTATACTAAAACTTTTAAGTTATAATGTTTTAATTACAACATGCTAACATCAGCCAGCTTTTACAACAACATGACTTTGAGGCATTACATATTAAAATGGTGTATTTTATTAATTTTACCTGTATGATTAGAGCAGAATTGGCTTCTGCAAGCTGTAAAAACTTGAGATTTTAACTCATTCACTGCCAGCCATTGGCAGTGAATGAGATATTTATGTAGTGTGTAATTTTTTTAAAAACTTTATGGCATCACTATACTATAATAGGGCATCGTATTGAAAAAACAAAAAGTGCGTTGTACAGCTCCTGCCATGCCCTTTCATTTGATATATTAGTCGATGCTGTTTATTGAAAAAAGAAAAATTCATCGTCAACTTTGACCTTGGGCGCCAACAGTGAAGCTCAAGGTCAAATGCTTAGCCATTTTGCACACCCCACGGCCTAGCATATTGGTGTGAAGTTTGAACATGATTAAAAATAAATTGTGGGCAACATAAAAGAGCTGTTATTGTTACCTACCATCACACAAAATTTAAAAATGATATCTTGAAAGCTGCTAACAAACAGAACTGATCATACAGTTGTCAATTGAATATTGCGTCTGCACTTTGGGATTTTCCCCCCTTCGGGGAAATAATAATTCTGCTTCCTACTTACAACCTCAGTAACCACTTTCCTGATGACCTCATGTGCTCCGCTTCTAGTTTAAAGGCTTATTGGATGACAGATGAAGGTTACTTTAGAAGTTTTGGTTCCTTTTAAGGTCAACAAGAAAAGAAAATCATGCTGCAAGTTCTTATAAATGTACACTGTCCTCAGTTTCACCTCTCATTTGTGACATCCTGTTTTGAAAATGCCAAGATGTTGCTTGTGATAATGCTCAGCTCAAAACTTTCACAGAAAAACTTCACTAACCAATAGATGCTGTGGTGGCTGTGTTGGTGGTTTTTTTTTACTGTCCAAACAGTCAGAATTCACGCAGTATTTAAGTCACTCACCTGACTGGAGTCACTCCCCATAACAGTGAAGAGGCGCTGACATCCTGATATTTAGGATGAAGTCGTTTATGTAAAAACAAAACAACCGCTCCTGGCTTCAACTCCTTTATAGTCACTACAAAGCAAAACCTCCCAAACCCAGTATCACAGCAAAACATGTAACAGCCATGCCAGTCCACCAAGGTTTTGCCGTGATATTGGGTTGAACATCTTTATCGGTTGTGTAAGTTGTATAAAGCACTTTTAGTGCTTCGAGTCCATTTATCATACACATCAATTGAAGCTGTACATCAGGGTGTTGAATGCAGCCCAAGGGGACATGACTGCTCAGTTGATAAGTTCAAGTCACACTGAAAAAAAACATTAAGTTACTTTTGCAAATTGCGGTTGCTCTAAGAGTCAGAAAGTGCAATTATCTTGGGTATTTCCTCGGTGAACTATTTTTTAATCATAAGTTGTTAGCAGTTGCGTGTGCAGTTTCACACCCCTCGTTCATCACACCTGTTTTAAAACACAGATGGTAACTGTGAAAACATTCAGTTCGAAGCTTCAAAATGGCACAAATTAACCACAACTCAGTGGGAGACATTCTTTTATACTGGTCTGTACTGGTAGCCAAGTAGATTACAATGGTTTTAATGGTCCAGACCCCTTGAGATGGCGAACAGAGGAGAATTTGACACCTCTGCTCTAAACACTGAGCTCAGTGTTGACTTGCTCATGCACGTCTCATAGGGGACTGATATTGCCCATATTTAAATACTGTAAGTGTAATTAGCCACACGTGAAATATGGATGTTAGCAGTAAAGTTTCTCGATTTAATAATTAATTCTGCAGCCTCCAAACCGGCTGAAACAAGCAAACAAACAAAAAAGATCAAGTTCACGTTAGTTTATTTGTACCTGTGGATAGACTGGATCGTCCACACAGGAGCCCTCCATCCTCACATGCATGGCATAAGCAGGTAAGCCTAATACAACGTAGTGATAATAATAGTAACACATAAAAGCTGTTTACTCATGCGAGTGATGGTTCCAGGAACCTGCTTTCATGCCGTGCTCTTCTGCACTTTGTGACTGTAAACCTGCATCCTGAAGAAAGAAAGAGAGTGAAACTCACTGTGTGAAGGGTGTAACAGTGAAAACATCTGCCTGCTGTGCAAGGATGCTGGGTTCAGCTGTGGCTCACCAATCAGCCTGTGAGACCGTTTTGTAATTTGATTGAGTGAGTTTCTTACAGATAAGAATCCAAACCAAGACTCTAAAGTAGAAGGCATGGCACTTTGAAAGTGGAAATAAGTAAGTTTGCTTCAAAGTAACTGTTTCAAAATAGTGCACACATCTCACCGTCTGACCGAATCGGGACACATCTGTCCGCCCCCTTCAAACAGCGGAGCAGTGAGCGTGCTTTTAGCTGGAGTGATCATTTTGCAATAACCACGAGTCAACATGTGACTGTTTACTATGCCTAATATGGGTTTGGTATGTGTCATTTTATGAGTGGCAGATAAGTTGGTATAAACATAAACCATATCAGGCTACTGTGAGAGAAATATTCATGAAATTGACAAAGAAAACTACAGAGTTATTTTGACTTCATTCTTTGAGTTTGAGCTGTGTAGGTTCACATACTTTTGAGGGGAGATAGGTTTTAATTTTTCAGCTATTGTTTTCTGTGAGAAGTCAATTAAACACAAAGGTTAGATGATGCAAAGTTGCATAAAGAAACACGTTTCTTTGGCACAAAGAAATGAGCCAATACGCTGTAGGTTTGAATAAAGCTGTGAGAAGATATATATATATATTTTTTTTCTCTTGCATGTTTGCTCCCAGGAAACCACAACTCTATCGCAACATCAGACATGCTGCATCTTCACAGGAAAAGCCTCCACACATCACATATCATGTTGATCTGATAATAACAGGAGCGAAAATAACAAGATAACATATGATGATATGATGTCGTACCTCGCACAGTAATCATCACAGTAATAATCTGGTTAACATATTCAGCGAGTCACTGTTGGGGTTAATAATTCAGCATGAGCTTCCTGATCAAAAGAAAGGGTGTGGAGTGGTAAAGTAGCGCCATCTACTGGAAAAAGAACTGCACAATTTTAATATACGATATACTTTAATACATGAAAAGTAGTTTGATTACCACACAAGTATAAAGTCATTAAATTATACAAAAAATGATCTAAAACATGCTGTACAAAGATCTATAACTTAAAATTCATTTGAATATACAATAACAAAAAAAATCATATTTTCATTTACAAAACAGCTGGAACAGGTTTACAAAAGTGCTAAATGCATTTTTACACAAGCTAAAGTGTGACTATAGCACATCAGGGTCAAGAAACAAGTACGAGTGCTTTTTAACCGTTTGATACACATTTACAATAACCTGTACATTTTATTTGCTACATTGGTCTGTAAAATCATCACTTTAAATATTCTAATATGAACAAATAAATATACGTAACTTCAAATAGTCTGCAGCCACGGGGAGACTAAGAGTTTACAAGTACACATACACAAACATCTGTGCCATTGTATTTGTGTTTTTGCTTCATTTCTGTGGTTAATTTTTGTAAAAATTTCTTTAGGTTCACAAAAAAAGTTCTTTTTCCTTTTCAGTTCGCATTATTCTGTTAAAATGACAGCATTCTTTCATTTTTTATTTGGTTGCATTTATTCTCTCGTTTTAGATGCTCACAGACGAATCCTGCTGCTGTCTGATGCTGCAGATTTGTAATTAATGCAAAAGAAAGACTTCTATAAATAGCTGCAAGCCACAAACCTAATTCAGATCCCGATAACTGTGTCAAACCTTGACCTTGAGTCTCATTAGTTTGGACTATGCTGTTTTCATTGGAAAACTTTCTAGATTTAATCTGATTCAGTAAAAAGGACTAGATGTTACAGTCCCTGATAATGCATTGCTTTAGATGGAGAGACTCTTGATGGATGGCTGTTATGAGGAAAGGCAGCCCAGAAACTTTGCCAGCAGCACGCATGGTTGTGTGCCTCAACTTTCGGTCTTTTACCCAGGCTAATCTGCCATTTTCCTTCCTTGATTATGTTTATGGATTAGGGATCTAATCTAGTTTATCATTTTAAAATTTGGGACACATCGTCAGTAGTGGACCTTGGATTCATCGGGTTTAATCCAAGTTAAACTGTGGAACCAATGAATCAAGAAAGGCTCTCTACAGTGTTTATAGACCTGTGCTGATCCTGAATATGTTTTCCGATTTTTTCCAGTGTACAATAAAAAGGATATTTTACTTTTATAATCATTTTTGGCTGCACACAAATGTCTAAAGTCTAAATTAAATTCTGACAGTTTTCAAAAGTTGTGGCGTTCTTCTGTTATCTCAGTCCTTTGATGTTAGGTGGTCATAAAACTCAGTCAGACCAGTGTTAAGCCGATCTTTCTGTTTCTTATATTCCAAGTTTTTTTTTTTTCCTCCTGCAAGTATTGAAGTTCAATCATGCAAACATTATTGAAAACCAGTACTTGTGCTCTCTCTGTTATCTCAGCCAGTGGCTGCATGCACAAGGACACCATGATGGGAGATACTTTCAAAAGAAATCGAGTTTTCAATCTCAAATTCAATCTCTGAATTCACTTCATCAGTAGATTCAGCTCATTAAATTTCTGTGCTGAGATTTGACAACTACCTGTTTTTCTCTAGGTATCCAATTTGGGAATCTAGCTGTAGTCTTAAAAACAGTGACCCTACAAGACCTCCAGTCTCTGCAAATGCTGGTTTATGACACATTGACATCAGATGTGAAAAGGTGCCAGACGTTGGTCTTTTGTAAGTCTTTTTAAAAAGGAACTGAAGATGAAGTAAAGGCACATGTAATTCCAACCTTATTCATGCATGCATTGAATCTGTAACCTAAATGCTACCAGGTCTGACCGAGCAAATGCCATCTCAGCTTTCACAACAAAGTGACCACAGTGAACATTTATTCAATAAGCTGACAAGTTCAGATGCTTTCATATTAACAGAAAAGTGTGCATGTCTAAAAGGCGTGCATCAATTTATATTTTGATACTTTGTTGGCATTTTGTGTCTCAGTGAAGTCAATATGTTTCACTTCAAAAACATTTTGTTTCTTTTTGAAGTTGTTTTCTGTCTCTTTGCAGTTGTTTTGTGTCTCTTTCTAGTCATTTTATGTCTTGCTCAAGTCTATCTGTGTTTTTTTGTGTGAAGCTGTTTAATCTTTGTGGTCATTTTCTGTGTCTAAAGTCGTTTTATGTCCCTGAAGTGTCCTTTTGTGTCTTTGTTATGTCTCTTTGAGGTCATTTTCTGTCTCTTTGTAGTTGTTTTATGGCTCTCTGGAGTCGTTTGAGTCTTTTTGTGGTCATTGTATGTCTTCTGGGTTAGACTTTCATGATTTTTATAGCTTTGCAGCAGATGTTTGTCCGTCAGACTTGTCGCCCCTGAAGTCGGAGCAGCAGTGCATTAATTTTGCAGAAGTAATGTGAAAACCACGGTTCACTTTTCTCCTTTTTACACTACAATTATCACATCCCAATTTGCGCAGTTCTTTGAAATACAGAGCAATGACGTTTTGGTTGTATCTTTCGTGAGCAGTCATTAAAATGAAACATGATTCATCAGTCAAACTCATCCATGATCACTGATGGTGCTGTGTCAGTCCTTTGAGGAAGTGTTGCTGATGATCTTTCTTTTGCGTAGTGTCACCAAGTCATAGAAAGGGTCCTTGGTGATGCTCGCCCTGAGAAACAACATTTAAGAGATTTAGTTTGAAAACCAAGACCTTCAAGTAACAGTAGAAGTAGCAGTTTTAAGCATTTTTTTTTCAGTTTTGAGAACTTGAGTGGTGAGTGGAAATCACTAAAGAATGACTGTAAAATGACTTTATTGCACTCTTTGTAGGCCTTTCTTAGTGCATGATCTTAAGAACACTGAGATGGACATTTTCAGATATTCAATCTTGATGATGACTGTAATCACTCTAACTTAGCATTAACCCTTAATCACTTTAATCTAAATATTTACAGCTTTCCCACCAGCCTCTATTCTACTTCTAATGTCCAATAAAAATGTTAGCGTGATACATTTTGATAATGATCCCATGTTGCGGCCATGTAACTAACCAAATAGTAGCTCATGTAATGAATACCCTCGTCGTCCCTCACTGACTATAACAAGCACAGGGATTGATGTTTTGTCAAAGCCAGAGAAATTTACACTGGGAGTCCTTTAGCATCAGTGCTGTCAAGTGATTTCTGGGTGCAAGCGTCTCCTGCATTGAATGCTTGTGTGTTTTTAATGTCTTGCAGTTTCCAGCCAACAACAGGGATGTCAAACATAAGTCCAGGGGGCCAAAATCAGCCCAGCAAAGACTAAAATCTGGCCTGCTGGACGGTTTTGCAAAATATGAAAAAGGGCACGTTTTTTTTAAAAAAACAAACAAAAAAAAACAGAATTTTTTCATTAATCGACAAAAAACTTTATATTTTATAAAAACAGAACAGTCTGAGCAGTGAGCTACCAGAACTTTTTATGTAATTTTACATTTTTATCATGTAGAAAAACTGAGCTGTGCTGTTGAAATTGAACATTTATTGATCTTGTATTAAGATGTCTCAGAGATTAAATGTGTACTTAAATGTCTTTACACTGACAGTGTTTCACTTCACTTAAGATCAAAGTGGGCTGTATGTGGTTGACATCTTTGCTATACATTATTATTAGCACTACTGTGTGAAGCATGTCACCCACCCACTTTTAAAATAATGACCTGACATTATGCTTGACAGGTTGAGATGCTAGGTGGGTGTATAAAAGCCTGCTTTGGAGTGGCTTTCTTCATTTCTGTGCCTGCTTCTCAGTTCAGGTCCTTCCACTTCTCTAGCCTGTGGAGTGCCACAGGGTTCTATTCTGGGGCCTTTACTATTTCTGTTATAGTCACTCCCTCTAAGTTACAGATTACGCGTAGGTGCTTAGACTATTAAAAGTCAGATGGATGACAATTTTCTCTGACTAAATGAGGAAAAAGGTTGTCTTGCTTGTGCTCTGGCAGATTTGTGTCTAAGATAAAGAAAACTCTAGGTCCCCTTCCCACTTTTGCTGAATCTTTAGTAGGATGTCTTTTGATTCAGACATCACTTTGGATGCTCATGTTACATATCTAAGTACTCTAAGTATTCACACCATTGCTAATTCAGTTGCATGGGCTCCCCATTAACTTCATAGTCCACTTTAAGACTCTGGTTTAGACTTTTAGAGCTCTGAATAGGTGAGCACAAGCATCACAACATCAGTGAACTTTTACATACATATGTCCCTAGCAGGCCCCATTAGGTCTGGTGTCTATATAGCACCAAAGGCTGAAAATTAAAGAAAATGGAGCTTTTGCATCAGTTACCTCCAGACTCTTGAAGTCTCTCCCACTGAGCCTGAAAAAGCAACTTAAACTCATCTTTTTGACCTTTCATTTAGGTAACCTTTTGTCTTTGTCTTTTTGCATTTTCTTATGGAGCGCGTTGTCATATTTCTATAGAAATGTGTAATATAAATGTATTTTTACTAACTAAACTCATGGTGTAGGCTATAGTGCACACCATGTGAAACCAAGCCTGATTTCAGTATGGCCATTAAGCTTGGGATCAGCACTTTTTCAAAGTGAGTAATTCAAACCACGCAGCATCACTCATGACTAACATCCCTCAACATAAATCTTAAATTGAGACAATGACATCAGACTTGAAAGGCCTCTTGGGATCATATATGGCATCATATGAATATAACAGGGGATCTGGAGGTGGCAGAGAACTAAAGTCACCAGAAAACTGAAAGAGAATGTAAAACACAGACTCTTTCCTTCTTATGCAGATTTTGTCACTGTTTCAAACCCATTTGCATTAAGCATCTAATTTTGCCATAGCTGGTGGTTCAAGGTGTCTATGAAAAGCACACTCTGTGCATATCTGTCAGAAACAATAACAATTTGTTACTTTGTAGCTTTGACAAAACAGCCTGTGAGGTAGAAAGTTTAGTTATATTTATTCTAACACGCAAGAGTCTTTAAAACTCCCAGCGCAATTTAAATTAATTAGCTAACACTTTAATATTTTATTAAACCATTGGTTATCTACAGATAACACGATTTCTTTGCTCTGTATGGTTACCAGGCAATGAGTGCATTATAAAACTGCAGGTTTAGATTTGAGATGACATGTAGGTCATATAAGTTTGATCACTGTTGCTTGTTTGAACTCTTCCTGATCATGTGCTTCACATTAAGCCTCGATAAACATGAGTCACTGACACACGTGGCCGCCCACGTGTCCTCTGCAGCATCAGTTGCTCTCACCTGATTGCATCTATCCAGTCGTCCCGTTCCTCTGCGCTGGCTGCACTGAGCTTATACGACTGGTGTTTACCCTGGACCACTCTGCCTTTGTTCTCCGTCTTGCAGGCCTTGATCTTTTGTCCTTTAGGATTATATAACTCCAGGCAGAACTGTTTAAACACACATGCAGACCCACATGTAGCACCGTTACTGTGTGCATATGCCTTTTGTTTATTTTAATAATCTTCTGATGGCCTCCTGACTCACTGTTTTGAGCACTTGCGCTAGAAATTCATTTAGCAACTGCTGTATGATTCATTGAGGGCTGGGGTGGCAAATAATATGTGTGTGGAAACTCAGCAGTCATACAATGTGATGCAGAAAGTGAATGATGCTCTACCGGTTTGCTTGAGTCTTGTAGTGCCCTGACACACAGGTTCTCCAGAGGAATAATCCCAATTGGATCTTTATCCTGCAAGATGAGAGTGAAGATGTTTGACATGGCCATGTTTTATTGTCATCATGTCTGACTTATGTAGCGGCAGAAAAAAAAATAAACGTACTGTTGTGTATTCAAAGTAGTACAAGCAGCTGTCTGTCAAAATGAACCACCTTCTCTTCCAGGTTTTAACTCGACCACCTGCAATGAAGCAAACAAGACATTAGAAACACGAGCAAAGAGAAGCTCTGACGTCCTGTCTTGGAGTCCGGGTTTATGGTGTGGTGTTAGTTTCTTCATCTCACCTATTTTAAGGAGCCAACCCTCGCGGTCTGGATTAAAAAACGTCAGTGTGAGGTCATTCCCATCATCCTCTGGGATTTTGAACGGCTCACTACGGATGCTTGTGTACAGTTTCTGAAAATAATTTGAAAGTGCACAGAAACATCGAATAAGCATTTTTAAAATTCTGATTTGCGTAATTTAGTGCAGTGTACACAAGAAATCATGTTGAAACACAGATGTGACATTTTTACTAAAGGTTAACAGATTAGCATCAAAGGAACCTAACGTATATCAGCATATCAATAGGGAAAAAAACACAAGACAATGAAACAACGAAAAAAATCCCTGAATCTATAGATAACCATCAAGAAATAACCCCAAATGTGGGTCATTTCCTGATTCCTAAACATCCAGATAAACTCATATAAAATCACCAGGTTATTTTAGCCTGATCAATACCAACATTTTAAGATATTTTTACATGACAGTGATTTTTTAAAATAACATTACTTCATGTTGGGCTACATGGTTAGGTCTATTAAATAAGTAAAAAGAACAGTATCTTAGTATTTAAAGAAAACTCAAGTACTCTGGAAGGACTAGCTTTCTTCAACCTATAATGTACTGCGTTTTTCAACCATTCACTCACTGCTTTTATTATTATCTATTTCATAAAATTATATACCAGTTATTTGTGATTAACTATTCAAGTACATATATATATATATATATATATAATGTTTTTCCTCTACACCTTGAAGTAACTAATTTCAACCAGTAATCTGCAACGTTTAGCTAACAGCTTTGCTCTGTTAGCTAATGACTTCAACTGTTAGCTAACATTTAACTACTAGCCATATTTTGTCGCTAATTTTATTTAGTCATGTTATTAGCCAAGCATTTTAACTGCTTAAATATTACAGTATGCTTGAACAAATCCAGTGTTAGCTTAACTTTAGCTGTTTTTCCAAAACTAACATTAAATTAGCACATTAGTTAAACTGATGGTGATACTTAATCATGTTATTAACTAAATAACACTGCTAATAACTGTTCCAAGTTTTTATCTGCTATTCTGTCATAAATGTAGTTTATTTATACTTTTAGCAATTCAACTGGTCATAATTTAAAGTATGTTAATTGAGTGTGGTTTCTTCTTAGTATACACAAAATTAGCAAACAAATTGCTGCTGTTAATTTTAAATGATTTCTGAAGTATATTATTAATTTTAGCTAGCTATTTCAAGTGCTATCTTTTCTTTTAACAAACAGTTAGTCTGTCTCTTTAACCAATATATCAACCATTAATTTGCGTCATTACTTTACTTTCAAATTATCTACTGCCTAGCCACTTTTAGGCAACTATTACATTTTCTGTTCAAACTTGCTTCCAGTCAGTGCTGAAAATAACATAAACTTTACCCCGAGGTAACACTGTAACACGAAGGGTGATTTAAGGTATAACTGCATTTCACTGCGCAAGAATGATGTACTACTGGGGAAACCCATCAAAGATTATTGGTGTCACTAAAGAAGTAAGGGTAAGCTACGTAAGGAGATGAAAGAAATGCCCTGCAGTCAGTTAACCACCCTGACCAAGGAGCATTGCAGTACTTCTGCAATACATTTAAAGGATATTAGAGTAAACTATAATGCTGTCACCAATCAGCGCCTTGGTTTTTCTATCACCTGACTGTACAAGCAGGGCCTGACAAAGCCATGAAATAATGAAGCCAGCTGACCGTGAGCAGCTCAGTGGGCAGGTCCTCGCCGTTGTTGATGCCTCTGTTCATGGAAACAAATCGCTGCAGAGTGGGTTTGTCTTTCACGTTGGGGTTGTGGAGACTTGTGTTGAGCATGATGATGGCGAAAGAGAGGATGTAGCAGGTGTCTGTAACAGAAAACCACAGTTTAGCTTTCTTCATCACCTTCTTGAGTGTACGCAGCTGACAGCTGCTTAGGCCAAAAAAAGTTTTATTGGATAATCTGTTAACTCTAATCAGGGAGGCCTGAGATGTTTCTCTGGCTTTGGGTTTATTTTTCAAAAAGAAAAGCAGATTTTTCTTAGCAGGTGATGAGTCTTGTATAGAATTTTGTAATTACAGAAGCAAAAATGTGTTTTTTAATTGGAGTGTGTGGGAAAATGAATCAGCCTCTTTGTGCTTATACCTGTGGATTGGAAGACCCCAGGGTTACAGCCACAGTAGCGAGCTGCAAACGCCTCCATCATCCTGTCAATCTTTTGAGCTTCTCCTGGGAGACGAAAGCTCCACAGAAACTGCCTGCAAAGGTGGAAGAAAAAGAAAAACAACACACACGGGCTGGTAAGAAGGAGGAGGGTTTCATAATAAGGACGAAAGCAAGACTAAAGGTAAAACTGCTGCAACACTCCAAGCTTCCTTTCACAAACCTCAGTGCTTGCACCAGATTCAGGTCTGAGAACTCATGCAGACCAACAAACGCTTTCAGTATCTTCAGGTGCATTTCCTCCCTGTGTGACAACCAAAACAATGAAAGATAATTGAATAATGAAAACCACAACCCTCAAAATGAGGCTCAAATATAGAATACACATTTACCGTCAGAGCACACTGGTTTCACAACATACATGAAAGTCACGAAGTCATGTGAATAAGAACATTTTCAAACTAAGTACACCTTTTCCAGGCATTTCTAATGAATTACACTCGATAAGCTGATAATAAACTATAAAAGCAGTATGCTAGTCTGGAGCATTCAGGTTTGTGTTCCTACAATGCTACAATCCTCCTATCAGGGAACATCTTGTAAGGTCAGGTACAATGATCAAAGAAATACAAAAAGGCAGGTTAAAGGTTAAAGTTCATGACAAGTATGGCTTGTTTGGAAGGGGTGCCTGGAAAAAGCATCTTCTCTGTAAAAAGGACGTGGCAGCGTCATTTAGATTTGCAAAGTTGGATCGGAATAAACCACAAGACATGACCGAATAATGCACATTATTAGCATATTAGCACAAACACCTAATAACAACTGTCGGCACAGTAGAGGAGGGGTGATGATTTGGGGACCTTGCAGTCTTTAAATGTATCCTCTGTAAACCAAATTATTCTATTATTAGTCCCTCGTCTAACCTTCGTCCCAAACTGGGTCAACAGGACAATGATACCAAACACAGCAGCAAATCAGGACAGAATGGCTGAAAAACAAAAGAATCAAGGTGTCGCAATGGCCCAGCAAAAGCCCACAGCTCAACCTGGCTGAAATGCTGTGGTGAGACTTTAAAGGAGCTTTGCGTAAACGAATGCTGCGAATTTCAATGAATTGAAACAACTGTGTAAAGAAGAGTGGGCTGCGTTTCTCTCACGCTGATGTGACATACAGAAAGCGATCTGATAAACAATCGGTTTTACAAAATACTGAATCATGCTGTGCACTTTTTCAGTTTTTCAAACGTTGCTTCTGCATTTTGGTTCAGTATTTGTTAAATAAACAATGACACTGTGCAATGTGTCTCATGCTGTTGTTCATCTGAGGTTGTATTTATTTCATTTTAAGATATGCAAAGGACCATCTCGTGTTATGTAAAATCTTAAAGAGGAGTTTTTGACAAATGGTTCCAACCTTTGGAAAAAGGTTGTCTGTCTACAGAGTGCACTACAATACAAAAATGTCAAATTTTGGGCAAACAAATGTTTTCACACATCACTGGAAAATATTTAATGGAACATTGAAACCATCAAATGGTGCTTTCAAAACAGCTCCCCCCCCCCC